GTATTGACCTTACCTATCACACTACAATCAAAACTGATACAACTCCAAATATACGTAAGACACTGCACCACACTACCTCTACAACCGAGTCAGAAAAATACCCGCGATCTTATACAAGCTTTGTTCTATCTCTGAGGGGTTCTTTGGCCAACCAAAAATATCCCCCTCCTCACAGAATTGCACTTGCACGTCATCTCAAAAATGTCATCCGTTGCGGGCCCGTCCAGAAACCGAAGTATTTCAGGGCAATGATGGCATGGCACTGCTATACACAACACACCCGCAAATGCGCACTTCCCCCTTGATTGTACCCTATTGCCCGCTTGTTCCATTACATGCAAGCGCGGGAAAATCACGACTTATTCTGAATGTAATCTTCTGACAGTGCCTGACGGTAGGCCACCCATCTGTTGGAATAAACATGATTATGATAACGTGGCACTGTGGGTACAAAGTGTACATCAAATGACAACATTATAATCATCATCGCTGGTAGAAGAGCAAGAGATGCTAACAGAGACTCACCAAACACACATGATATGATGCCTCAGACACAACTGGTTTGCAAGGATCCACGCTTTCTTTCGGCTGTACCAGTGCCATTCTGAAGGCAACTCATCGCACAAGCACGTAACAACACCAGATATCTCTGATCTTGTCTCTGCAAGCTCTGAGCTACCTTAGTTGTGTACAAACTAGCCAATGCAACTCCCTCATAATCACATTTGCCAACCCCAGTTTGCATCGATCGTATACCTGAATCCCGATTATCGCTTTTAAAACGGGTAATGTATGATTGAAACATTTACGAATTGAGATAACTTCTGACTGTCTGTTGTTTCGGGAGGCATTCTAACTCACATCAAAGTGCTTTCTAGCAAATCTTTCGGGCATTTTTCCTTTTATGAGTCCAAAATATAGGCATGGCTGCCTCTTTACCTCGCTCGAATGACAGCAATCAACCGGCACGAACCGTCAATAGACCCAAACATATTCTGACCACAATGACAACCAAAAAGTCTCATCATAGAAGTTCATGTGCGGGGCTGTCCACGATCCGAAGTACGGTGTCCCGATGAAGGTACCGCGACTACCAGACCCAGTCTGATGGCTTGCCCGTAGTTCACTATGTCTAACATCTCCCAGACAAGCGCGTTACCTACAAGACCGTTTCAATCCGTTTAATATGAAGAAGGACATAAAAGTAGAGGCCATCTTATTGTGCCATCTGCTTGTTCTGCTCACAAATCCAATAGTTCAACCAGCGGCAATATTGGTGGCTCGGCATATCAGTGAAGTCAAACCTTGTCCAGAAACAAGATCTAACGTATGCTGACCATCATAAAAAACGAAACACTTACTAGCTGTGATAAATTCCATGTCTTTAGCGGGACGCTTGCCGACACCGTAGATGAATTTTCCAAATCCAGGTCGTAAATGGTCTCTCTAATTTGAGTTTGCGTTGGCGTCATGGGCACGATTATTGTCTACTTCGTTCTGAGATTGTTTCCAAATCCAATTCATAAGAAAACACGTGAAGAAACGAGCCTTTGCACAAACTTTTCCGACGTTTTTATAGAGATAATGCACCAAGCAACCGGCAGCCATTAAAATACGAATTTCACGCTCACAGTTGACTCCGATTTCGTTTGAACAACTTCTAACAAAACTGCGGCCGCGTGGGGAGATCTTAAGGGCCTAAATGATTACCATCCAATGGTAAGGCATTATGTTAAAGTTTTTCAAACCGCTGTTTCAAAAAATTTTGGGTGTGCGCCGTCTGAAACGCAGAGTGACTGACTGGGTGCGTGAAGTAGCTCCCTGTTCGCTGTTGTCGGTTTCGTGGCTCTGGTTGTCGCAGTAAACGTCAACAACCGCGTTCACAATCACGTGGCTTCTTTTGAAGGATTGGAGCTGAGGATTGGCAGTTGTGATTTCTCGTTGGTTTAAGGGCCCTTGCAGTATTCCTTAAGTCGCCACCAACGCCTGTGGTTGATTTATCTTTAGGCTTCGTCGCTTGTCTCTGCACACCTTATCCAACCCAGCTCAAATGTTGTGTCTTGGGTGTATGGTACGCTGCTGCCTCTTCATCGTCTGTCACAGAAATAGGCGATGAGAGCACTACGTACCTTGGACGCTTCGTCCTAGCGAGTCTTAACTCCTCGCGAGCTTCGCTGCCTTTGGTCGTTGAGGATTCTGGGGAGGTTGAGCAACAACTGCAATCCGGGTTCCCTGTCGGTTGGGTGGGCGTGAGTTTAAGAGCCCAAGGAGCTATCACTACCGTCCGTTGGGCATAAGTGTGGGGTCGGCTGAACTGCACCAAGCGGAAGCCCGCTTTGCACATCTTCCCCATAACTCCTGTACCTTGGCTCTCGCGCCTCTGGAGGGCGGCCTCCAAATATACGCCTGATTCTTGGGTGGATATTTTGAATGCTCCAAGATCGTCTGCACGGTAGATGGAGAGGCAAGTGTGACTAGGAATCCAAGTGTTCGCCTGCTTTTCTTCCGGTGTAACCGATCTGCCGCAGTGGTTCGCAGTCATGCCTTGTGAGACCAACGCCAAGGGGCGGCTGCGTCTGCTTCCTTCGCGTGATTTTCTGGAGAATGACGCCCAGGTAACAATCTGCTCTCCTTCATGCGCCGGTCCACTAAAGACGCCGCGGTGTATTTTATTACCACCTCAGAAAACTAAGTGACCTTCTCCGCTGGCAGTGGGCCCAGAATAGACAGCGCAAGGCACTCTTTCATTATCAACCTTCATCCGCGTCGTTGTATTCTTTGTATTTTGTCCCCCAGAGCTTTAGGATGAAGCGCCAGTTTTGCGTCAAGTATCCCCAACAAAGCGGAACATTCACACTTGTCTTTTAGATTTAGAAGTGGGGACTTTGTTTCGTTTCAGATGGCACCATCTTTAATTGTGGAATGCATTGCACCCTTAAGATAGTGGAAGCTGGCTCGAAAAAAAACAGGTTAGGGGGTTAGCCAGTTTACCTTCCAGGTCGTTTTATGAACTCATGCATTTAAACTACCACCAGGCCTTGCAGACGGGGCATTGCACAACCCGTCTCCCATTCGACGGCCCCCAGTTCGCCCACGTCTGTTTGGTGGATCGGATGGCCCTAGACAGCAGGCTGTATTGATTTGGGTAGAGATCGGAACTGGGTGCATTGCAGGAACTGAGTGCAAGTTGACAGAGATTATCACGCAAGTGTTATAATAGGGTAATATTTCAACAAAAGGCACGTGCAAACTCTGTAAATAGAGCGAACAGCGAAGGAATTCTTGCACAAATTTGTGCCGGGTAATAACGGAACTGCTTTCGAACGTACCGGGCTTGGAAAAGACAGTGATGAAAACTCGCATGTTAATAGTAAGTGCCAAAAATCTAAACTGGTCTATATTTTAGCAAAATACACTCATTTGCAAACAAATTTGGCTTTGCGATAGATGCAGCTGGAACCTAGCTGAATCTATCGTTTGTGATGTCTTCAGGCAACTGAATGTGCTGCACCAGGCTGCCTCATGTTTCAGTTGCTGTAATATTCGTGATATCGCGTTACGTGTATATTCGTAATGCACTACTCATGAGGTTGCTCGTCTATATTTTGGAACGGCTTCTCAGTGGACCAATACCGCTCAACCCAAGAGAAGTGAAGGCCTGGACTCAGTGGCCCAAACCTTGCTTGTCGGTCCTTCCTACTTATGCTTGATCAACCTGGCAGTACCTCGGCTCCCGAGTCACCTGGTCAGATGGCGGACTCTCGCCGAACAGATGCCACAAATGACCTTCAATTGTCATTAGAGGAGAGTATGTCCATGGATGTGTTATCATTTGTCATTGTTACTGTGGGCGGTAGCGTCGGCAGCAAGTTGTCGCTCTATCTGTTTGCCCTCAATAAGTCTCCTGTTTTACATCATTTTTACATCACAGGATATTCATTTGACTTCCACATACCCCTACATAAAACAGGGATTGAATAAGTACACTATCACACATCTAGGCTCGAAGGCAAGGAGAGTAATTCTGTTAAGTGGGCGATTCATCAAAGCCAAAGTACGCGTCAAATCGGTAAGTGGTGTTTGATGAAATGAAGTGCCTTGATCTGCCAGAAAATGCCATTTACTTGCAGTGGGCGAAACTCTCGGGTTATCCTGTGGTTGCACCGATTTGCCGATGTTGCTCTAGTCTACAGTACACTTATTGACACAAAACATCCAGGAGGATCACTCAGGATGACCAAGTCTGGATTACAGCAGATGTGATGTATGTGGCCCCTGAATGGCCGGAGAGCAGACAATTGAGTTCAGAGCACGAGTCTAATCTTTTGAGATCCCATATAGGCATCCTGGAGTTGTCCGCGGTGCTAGGAAAGTATTCCACCAGACTTTTTTGGTCAGACGTACGATCACCTCAGCGGACAATGAAATTCGGTGGGCTGCAAATACATGAATGTGGATTGGGATGGATTTTGGTTTGAGCACATACGCAAAAAAATGCAATACTTAAGCGTAAAATGTTTTATTTCACTCTCAAAGGGTTTGCAGCTAAGAGCATTGTGCTGCTAATGGGCATCGAATACTGACCTCGAGAGTTCGCTTACTCAAACAAAACGCCACCAGCGGCATTTCACCGAAACGTGCAGCTGCAATGGAAAAACTACTGGACTGCTTCTCAACATCGGGACCCTATGGTTCCCGCTAAATAAATTTTCGTTTTCTTCCAGGAATCTTAGTCTAACTTCAAAATTGAACGCACACCAAAAATTAAGAGCAGTGATTGATTCAAAGGAGTTTCAACAAAAGCAACAGATTATAGTGCTTTGGGGTTCTGACATATACGCCGCAAAAGTTCTCCGTCTACACACCAGGATTTTTTATAGAAAATTGCGCATGATGCACAATGATAACCCGCACATTCTGGCCAATCAGTGCAAACCTTCTTGGTCTTTAGCCGGCTTGCGGCACGTCCGTCCTATGGATGTTGTGCTCATTATTTTAAGGTGGTTTCCATCCGGACGACAGGGATCAGAACTTCCGGCTACTTGCTTGCCCGACCGGAAGAGGTTGGTCGTACTAAACGAATGTCACGGTCCTCTTCTCCACCCCGGTCCACCCACCAATCACGTTTAGACACAGTACGTCTACTCCTGAAATGCGATACGGATACGGATGTTTGGGACAGCTCGGGTCTGGCTTCCATTCACACTGTTATTCTGACGGGCAACATTCCTGCGATCGCTTACGTGTTGGCAACAGGCGCGGAGGTGGATTGGTGAGTAATCAGTCATCACTAAATGCCTGATGCTATTAGCACAACCTCGTAAACATGCACGATTAATATCTCATTTTCGATTGTATATTTATACATTGTCGCTGAATGGCGCTTTAGGTATCACTGATTTGTCAAAACACTCTCATCCCATGCACGTAGAGACCGTGTAAGTCACCATGGATTATACTTAAAAAGACGTTACACCTTAGGCAAAAATGGAGTACCACCGGAACAAACACTTAAAAACGCTGTTGCAGTGTATGTGAACCAAATTAAGGTTCTATTTGTTGCTGGGGCCTTTCGAGAACTCCTAATAGGTCACGAAAAATGAAAAGTCGAAAAGTTGTGGCGATAGTCTATATTAGTGCCACGGACTTGCAAACATCGCTACATTTTGTACCCGTATCTTCCATGGCAGTCCAACTGCGCAAAAGCGTGCAGCTGTCTGCGTTAGTCATTCACACATATTTTGGGCACATTTCTGAAACTTTATGTTCCTGGCAGGAAAATCACCACATTTGTCAATCGTAAATAGGAGTAGAAAGCTGTAAGTGGCGAAGAAGGTTGTAGGCGAGCTATACCGTGACAGCTGTAGCCACTGTTCATCGTCATCATCGGAGACAACATTACCAGTGACGCTTCACTGTCGTACAACCGCTAAGTTGTTTGACTTCTCAACATAGCCGAAAATAAAAAAGCGAAAAGTGGATGAGGAGGGTGCCTGGTTCCGGCTTACTGCAAACATTCTGGGGTGTCTCACCTCCAAGTGCCCAGTCAGATGGTGTAGGAGATTGACAAATTGATGAAACAACTATCGTCGCTTAGCCGCTGTTTCTTGCAGTCTCCAGCCGGGTGCAAGGGGGATCACGAGTATTCCATCCTGGAAGGTGCACCGCACGAATAGCACCCAAACTTTTCGTGAACTCTCGCACCATTCTGC